TCTGTCCTAAGCCTCAGCAGGGTCCACGTACCTTGAACCTCCGGTCGTACTTAGTGATGGAGTCGGCAAAATCCACCCGCTCCCGCTTGGCCAAGAACTGGCGCAGCTCCGGCCGCTCCTCCATGCCCAGGTAATCGCCCACGAAATTCCTGTTGATGCTGTTCCTCCTCCGCTCTTTGAAGTTGTAGAGGATGTTGGAGGCTGCAAGAGACCCCCAAGGGATGCCGGTTGGACAGGGCTCTGCGCTTGACCCTTGGCCCCTGCCCCACTGAACCAGCTGTGGGAAGTGTCACACGGATCACGGCTCGATTTATGCCAGGGGAGGAATCCAAGCTACTGGAGCTTGGCTGGATTTGAAACTCATTAATTGCCTTCAGAAAACTTTGTGATGTGGGAGGGACCCAGCTGCTTTCCGGGTTTTCCCCCTTGAGTTTTTACTGCACGCTTCGGAGGGTGATAAAACACCTGTGATGGGGTCAGGTCTGGAACAGGAGTAGCAGAAATCTGCAGCCTCCTTTGAGATGTAGAAAAAGACCCCGGGGCATCTCATGGTCTGGTTCCTCCTCGCCTCCCTCCTGGTCGGTGCCGCACTTAGGAGCTGGGCTGTCATTCTGGAGGCTGGGCTGTCCCCAGCAAAGGGCACCATAAAAAAGGTGCTGGGGGACACCAGCCTTACCCTCCTCTCTCATCTGCTCATACTTCCGAATGGCAACATGCCGGCGCCAGGCCTTCTGGATCACCCGGGCAAAGCCGTCGAATTTCCGCTCCCGCATCTCTTCGAGGAGGAAGAGCTGGGAAGGACACAGGGTGGGGGTGAGCACAGTCAGCCAGGGGCCACTGAGCCCCGGCTGCGTCACCTCTCCTGCTCGTTGGCACCTCGAGCCCTCCCCAGCATTGGCCAAAGTGACACTCAGCTGCGTGCAGCGTCCCCCGGGCATGCGGAGCCGGGTCACCTACCGATTCGGGGTTCTTGACAAAGACCTTGCTCCGCCCCATCTGGTACTGGTCTGGGTCCATGTTGACGGAGCGCAGCAAGTGCTGCACCCCTTGCCGCTCGTCTCCGCGCCAGGACGGCCACGTCTCGGGCGTGAGGATGGCATAGCTGCGGGGAGAGGGGAGGTGAGTCGCTGCTGGGCTGCAGGGACCCATCGCCGCCCGTCCCGGCAGGCGCTCACCGTTGCAGGAATTTGTGGAAGACGCGGCGGTAGGCAAAACCCGCCCGGCGCACGCGGATGTTCTCTTTGAGCCCCAGGTACTCGACTTGGTGCTTCACCCTGTCAGGGACAGGCTCAGTGTGGGATGGCAGGTCGGTGGGGGATCTGCGTGGGCCCTTCGGGTGCTGCTTTGTATGTGAGTGCCCACAGCTGTGCGTGTGCGAGAGCTTCTTGGGGCTCGGATGGAGCCTTTAGTTGTATGGGCAGCACGGAGGGACCAGCCCAGGGGTGCAGGGTTTGGAGGAAAGCTGGTCCTGGCCACGGCTAAGTCCCATTCCCTGGGCTCTGTGGGCTCCCTAATACATCACAAGGAGCTTCTGTTACCTGCTCTCCTCCCAGTCCCGGGGCTTCTTGGTCTCGTTGGGCTTGATGCAGCGGATGTAGTGTGGCGTGCACTTCATTAGCGTGTTCACCAGGTCGTTAGCCTGTTTCTGTTGCAAGGATCGACCTCTGTAGCATTAAAGGGGTTGGTAGGAGCCCATCACTCTGATGCTGCCCCAGAGGTAGCTACTGCCCACCATCCTCCTGGACGTACCTTGATTTTGGAGCCGGCAGTGGTTGGTCGTCCCTTTTTGTCCGAATTAAGCTTTTCCGGGAAAAGCATCTGGATAAAACCGCTGCAAGGCAAGTGACAGTCATCGGGTGAGGGCTGCCAGGCACCCTGAGCTCAGCATGCACTGAGCTGGAACCAGCTCCAGCTCTGCTTTCTGCTGCTGGGAAATCCTGCACCGTGGTTGAGCCTGTGCCCCTCCAAATGTCCCCAGTCTGACCAGGATCAGTCCTGGCAGATGAGCACCCCTCTGCCCGGCCCTGCAGCCCCTGGGTGCTACCACTGGTGCCTGCAGGGAGATGCAGGGTCCTGAGCACCCCGAGCTGTGGCTCCAGCAAAGGTAGGACCAGCAAAGGCAGGACCACTCTAAGCCTTTGGGGGTATACCCCGGGACCGTGTCGCTGCCAGGACTCACTATTCACTGCTCTGCATGAGCTCGATCAAGTCGGTGAAGAGCACATCCCGGTTGCGCTCGCAGAAGCCGTTCACGTCGTAGGAGACCTGGGGACAGGAGGGGAGCTCAGCCCCGCGCTGCCGTGCCCAGGGCCGTGGGGTGCAGAGCACGAAACGTGGGGTGCTGTACCTTGCCTGCATAGTGGTGGATGACAAAACCTGAGTTCCAGCTGTTGAAGT